CCAACCTTTTTGTATATTCACTTAGGGGTCGTTTGGTTGGAATACGATTTATACCGGTATAAGTTATGCCGGGATAAGTTATATTGGGATAAGTTATACTGGGATTAGTTATGCTGGGATTGTTGTTTATTCATTGTTTGGTATATTGTATTAAGAATGACAATTGCATAATTTCTAAGAAAAAAGTATAAGTTATACCGGTGCTAATTACCCCACCTTCTATAAGGTATAAGTTATCCCAGTGTTAAAATTAACACCGGTATAACTTATACTTGGTTTGTTAACCAAACAGAGTATTAAGGTGGTATTAAATTTTTGTACCACCCTTATACCTTCTTATACCTCGTACCAAACGACCTCTTAGGTGTTTGTGTTCTCACATGGGGTTTTTTTTTTTTTTTTTTTTTTTTTGCAGGGACTAACTGACAAATTCAAGGAGAAGGATACTTCATATTCTGGCTCGGCTACATTCTCTTACGAGTCCTTCATGCTAACCGTTTTGCCTTTCCTGATCGCTTAGAAGCATGTGAATCGTACAATTACCTGTGGGTTTTTACTAGTATCTTTTCGTTTTGATCATTTGTTTTCAGATTGTATGCTTTTGTTGGTTTTGTAATAGATCGAGTTGGGCGAAGTTAAGTCACTCTCTTGTAGAAGCCACTGTGTTGCAGTTGTTAATGGGATATAAAAATAAATCCTTGTATACGATTTCGATGTGTTTCTGAAAGCGATGAATTCAAAGTTGTCAAATGCATGATTAGTTTCTGGGTTTGTTTTTCTTGGCAGTCGAGTACTTATAAGCTCCAAAAAGAAAAGAAAAATTCAAGTATAAATGTAAAACAGCTTTAGCACATAATGTGGTATTTGTAGGCAAAGATACAGCTCAAACTGCTCTTAGGTGTGTGTACGGGTAAAATTGGGGGCAGAACTTTTCCAGATTCCCCGATGAGAGAACGAAAGGAAAGTAAGGATTGACGTAATTATAATCGAGGCCAGGATCCCCTCACATCGAGACCCAGGAAGAAGGAACGATGTATCTGAGATCAGACACGGTAAAGCGCTGCACCCTGGACCAAGTATAGCTTTTGGACCTCGAGAAACGCGGTGAACGGTTATGCACCAGGGATAGGGGACCGTAATATTCGCCCTCAATCGGATATTACGGCGTGAATCCCGTTCAGTATCAATTATGGATCAACAATCACCAGAAAAAGAAGAATTTTACCTTTTTTAGACTTGTACTAGGACTAAAATTCTCCTACTATATAAAGGGGAAGCTTTTCTTTAGTCTGACACGTGGTAACACACAATTCAAAGCAATAAAAGTTTACTTTTGTCTTCTAGCTACTATTAAAGGCATTACTCACTTGTTCTTTTCTTCATTCGCGACCGAGCTTGAATCGAGGGTCCAATTGAGGACGAGTTCCACTGTTAAATCTAAGATCAGGCTTGGTCAAAACATTGCGATTGGGTTGATCGTTTACTTCGTCTTTAATTCAGTTATCCGTTATTCTTAATTATTCGTGTTAAATTAGACCACTGGATCCTTTAAACCGCGTACAAATTTAATTGTTACCTAATTTTGGAGTAAACAGTTTGGCGCTTATCGTGGGGCTAAGGATAATATTGGTGATGTGATACGAATCTCCATAACATACTCTATTTTACACTTGTTCTTTAAAATCTTAATTCTAGGTCAGCCTAAGAATGTCAAACTCTCAGTTTGCTCACTTGAACGTTGACGCTGAGTTAGGATATCACGGCGAAAATAATAATATGGTGCCCAATAATGATGTGCCTCCTACCGATCCCAATGGGGTCCTAGCCGCCGACCCGGTCGATGCTAATTCGCAGATGACCATCAATATCAATTTGCCAACTGATCCCGAAAATAGTGTCCGCGGCGTACCCCGACCAACGGTTCAAGAAGCACCCGAAGGTGAAGGTGATGGGGTGAGCCTACGATTGATTTTCGAAATGTTGCATGCTCAACAAGCGGCAATGGCAGGATCGAGCACGAACAATCCCAGAAAAATACTCGGAGAGATGAACAGGTTGCCGTGAGACCGGATGAAGTCGAGCCTGGGGAAACTTCGGAGGTAATGAAGATGCTCGAAGCATTAACAAAACAGGTGGATTCAGGCGAGAAAAAGATTGAGTCCGACGACAAGAAGGTAGAAATATACAACTCCAGGGTCGATCAAATCCCGGGAGCACTAGAAGCCCCCCCCCCCCCCCC